TATAATCAAGATATATTTATTTCTATTACTTAAATTATGGGATTAATATATGTTAATAGTGTAATAAAATCATAATTATCTCACTAATCCAATAAGCATTATGTTTAGAATATAATTAGATAAGAAAAAATAGCTAATAATTAAAATAAATGAAGAAAAATTGCATTAATTTCCAAATGTTGTTCAGCGTGAACCCCAATTAATACTATTAACAATTTGAAGATTGTTAGCAAAATACTTTGAAATTTTTTTTGAGAGATGGTAACAGAACAAAACAGATTGAAAAATAGAAAAAGAGATTAGCAATAATATTGAATTCAAAATTTGAACTACTTTTACATAGAGAAAGGAACTTCATGGTGCGTATATACCAGCAAACATATGGAAGTGGAGAGCCAGGAAATAAATCCTATCAAAGGGTTGATAGATACTGTCAACAAATACAATAAAAGTTTGATTTTATGAATCAAGAAAGGAAGCATAATGTTCATTAAATTAAAATTTATGCAACAAACATAAATATTACATTTTTCACACAATTTTTACATACAATAAAGTATATGCAAATTGTATCAACATTGTCCTGGCTGCTTCATCAAACAATGAATAAAATTGCTGTTTGACAGAGCAGATAGAATTCATACTTTCCTGTTAACATATTTTTTAAAATATATTTTTATTAATTTTCTTTTCTTTTTTTTTACATTATAAAACATCATGGTATCAACAATGTTCTTGGCATCTGTACAAGATTTTGGTTTAAATATCATAATACATTATATTGCGTTCATCTACTATTAAATAATATCTTTAGCTATAATTACTATTCTTATATCTTTATATAGTTTACAAAATTTTATTTTACTTTCTTAAGGGTTGTTTCAATTAACATTTTTGTCTCACTTCTTGGTTCTGTTTGTTAGCCATTTATACCAATTGTTCCAAATTGTAAAGAATTCAGAGTCACCTTTTTCTTTCAATTTCATTGTTAGCGTATTCATCTCAGCACTTTCTGTTACTTTGTGTAGTATTAGTTCTTCATTGGGGGTATTTGGTGTTTTCCATACTTGCGCAGAGGCTATTCTGGCGGCTGTCATGATATGTAACACTAGGTATTTTACTTCTTTCGGTAGTCTTTCTTTAATGATTCCTAACAGGAAGGATTCTGGTCTGAGCTCAATCTGATAGCCAGTGATCTCTTTTAACCAATTTTTAATTTGAATCCAGTATGTCCTGGCCTCGGGAACATCCACCACATATGATAAAATGTCCCATCAACTTTTTTGCACTTCCAATATTTAGGACTCATGTTGGAGTAGATTTTTGCCAATCTTGTTGGGGCTAAATACCATCTATAAAATATTTTATATATGTTTTCTTTGTATGCTGCAGATACCGTTAATTTATAATTTATATTCCATATTTTCTCCCATTCCTCTAATTCTATAGTGTATCCAAAATTCTGTGCCTTCTTGTACTTTTGACTATTTCCTCTTCCATTTTAAAATCTAATAAATATTTATATATTTTAGTTATAAGTTTTTGTTCCAGTCCCATTAATATTTTAGTTGGTTCTGCCCTTTGTCAAATCCAAAATCTTTTGAGTCTTTTTTATATTTATTTTGAATTTGCAAATATGGCCACCAATCGATTATAATTCCATTTTCCTTCAGTTCTTGGTTTGATTTTAATTTCCCTTGACTATCTAATAGTTCTTCATAGCTTACCATTTTCCGTAGGTCTAATCTATTTGGATGTATTATGGCTTCCATGGTTGACAGCTATCATGGGATTTCTGTATAGTGTTTACCTTTGATTTTTTTCCAAATTATTAGGTGTTCCTTTTATTTTCCCACGAAAATGCATGCCAACCTATCAAGAGGTCATGTCCTTCTAATGTTAAGATTCTTTTGTCTCTTAATTTAATCCAATCCTTAATCCAACTCAACACCACTGCCTGGTAATAAAGCTCCCATTCTGGTAGTCCGAGACTGCCTCTGCTCCTATTATCTTGTAATAGTTTCATTTTAATACGTGACTGCTTGCCCAACCAGACAAGATTGGATGTCATTTTATTTAGTTCTATAAAAAAAGATTTCCCTAATTTAATTGGAATCATTTGGAATAGATATATTAGTTTTGGTAAGGTATTCATTTTCAATGTTGCTATTCTTCCTAATATAGACAGTTTCAATTTGGCCCATAATTCCAATTCTTTTCTGATTTGCTTAATCTGTTTAACATAATTGTCCTCTTTTAATGATGAACATCTGGGTGATATCCAAATTCCCAGGTATTTCACCTTTTTTACTATTTGCAGTCCCATTATGTTTTCTAATTCTACTTTCTGTTTTGTTGTACAGTTTTTGACTATCATCTTAGTTTTATTTTTATTTATTTTAAATCCTGCTGCTTCCCCAAATTTTTCTATTTGTTGCAACAATATTGGTCCCGAATTCATTGGATCTTCCACTATAAATACCAAATCATCGGCAAATGCCTGAACTTTATATTCCTCATTTCTAATCTTAATTCCATAAATCTCTGGCTAGCAACACTTCTAAAGACAAGATAAATAACAGAGGCGATAATGGACACCCTTGTCTCACTCCTTTTGCAATTTCAAAATCTTCGGTATGATCTCCATTTAATAATACACTTGCTTTTTGATTTGAGTATACTTCTTGTAGTGTTTTTTCTATATTAGTGCCAAAGTTCAGCCTTTTAATATGATATAGCATGAATTTCCAATTGAGACAGTCAAATGCTTTTTGTGCATCTAAAAAAATTAAAGCTGCCTGTTTTTCTGGGTGAGCTTCGTAGTATTCAATCGAATTTAGTACTGTCCTAATATTGTTTTTAATTTGTCTATTTGGCAGAAAAACCATCTGGTCTGTATGTATAAGTTCACTCAAAATTGGTTTCATTCTTTCTGCTAATATTGTCATAAATATCTTATAATCCGTATTTAGCAACGAGATTGGCCTATAGTTCGCAATAGATCAGTGCCATCTTTTGCAATTAAGGAGATGTATGCCTCGGACCAGGACCTCGGAAGTCTAGCTTGCATTAATGCCTCATTATATAGTTCCAGTAATATTGGTTCAAATATTTCAGTTAAATTTTTATATAGTTCGCCTGGTAGACCATCTGGGCCTGGTATTTTATTATTTTTTTGTTTTTGTATCGCCTTTTGTAACTCTGTTAATGTTATTTCTTTATTAAGTACTTCTCTGTTTTCTTCTGAGATTGGGCTCAGACCGTTTCCCTCCAAGTAGTATCTAATGTTTTCTTCCCTAACATCTTCTTGCTTATAAAGCTCGACAAAATACCTTTGCGCAATTCTCTTTTTCTCCTCCATCTGATAATCCCTTCCTCATCCTTGAGTTGCTGAATTAATCTTTTCTCTTTCTCTATTTTTAATTTATGGGACAACCACCTTCCTGGTTTATTTGCTGATTCAAAGAAATTATGTTTAAGAGTTTTTAAGTTACGTGCATTTTCCTCAATATCTATCAAATTTAGTTCATGTCTAATCATCCCTATTTTTTTCTTAACTTCCATATTTTTGGGTCTTTTTGGAGCTCATATCAAATTTTTTAATCCTTTCTTGTAATTCGTTCTATTTCTTCCATTTTTCTTTATTTTTCTTAGCTATATAGGCTATTGATATGCCGCTCACAAAAGCCTTTGTAATATCCCATAAATTTTGTAAACTACTATGTTGTTTTAGATTAACCTTAAAGAATGTTTCTAACTCATTTTTAATTCTTGAGATATATTCTTTTTCCTTTGTTATTTGTAAATTTAATATCCAACTCCTTTTCCTTTTACTATGTCCTTTCCATGTAATTTAACCGGGCTATGGTCAGCCCATATATTAGGCATTATCTCCACTTCATTAATGTCCTTCTCAATTGCCCCATTAACCCATACCATATCAATTCTGGACCATGATTTTTGTGGACTAGAATAAAACGTATATTTCTTCTCATTTGGATTCCTCTTCCTCCATATATCTTCCAAATTGGTCTCGTGTGTTAAATCCAAATTTTTTTTGGGTAGAATTCTCTTTTTTTTTCTTCCTAGTCCCTTCCATACTAATATAGTCTTTTTTAACATCAACAATGGCATTAAAATCCCCTATCAAGCAAATATTTTCTTCACCTACACTAATTATTTATCATACAGTCCCTTATAAAACTTCTTCTGTTTATCATTAGGGGCATATATCCCCACTAATAGTAATTGTTTTTTTTATGTAAATTAATTTGTATCATTAAAATCCTGCCTTGTTCATCTGCATATTTTTTTTCTGCATTTATCCCTTTTTTTAACGTAAATTGCTACCCCCCTTTTCTTTTGATCTGCCAATGCTGTGAATAATACACCCAATTTGGGATATTCTAGATATTTTTTATGCTGTTTTTGGATATGTACCTCTTGTAGGCATATAATATCAACGTTTTGTTTAGTTAATTTGGTTAGTATTTGTTTCCTCTTAATCTGGGAGTTTAATCCATTGATGTTTATTGAGAGTAATTTAATCTTTTCTTCCATTGTTAATTCTGAGTCTACCTAAATCTTCTGTTTGTTCTTGCTTCTCTTTGGGGTCTTATTCTTAGTCCTTCTCTCCTTGGGTATTCTCTCTTTTCTTTGCCTCTCCCTTCTTGGTCCATTTCCTGTATTCCCTGTTGCTGATCTTCTTGCTGGTCCTCCTGACTCTTGCTTTCTGACTCTTCTTTGCTGCTCCCCTCTTCCTCTATTTCAATCAACTGATCGTAAAGTTCTTGCGTCTTTTCAATACCATCAATTTTTCCTCTTCTTTCTCGCCACGTCACCAGCATTCCTTCAGGGACCAGCTATCGGAACCTGATGTTTTGTTTATTCAGGAGTATCGCCAGAGATCTGTAGTCCTTCCTCAACTCTCTTACCCACCTCGGAATTTGTTTCAAGGTCGTGATCTCTTTTTCTTTATACACCATCGGCTCATCCTTTGTGATTCTATATACAATATCTCTTACATTTTTTCTGGCAAACCTGATGTGGACCTCTCTAGGCAGCTTGTTTCGTCTAGCATAGTTTGTATGGGTTCGGTAGACTTCATCTAATTCTTTCACTATTTCCTGTTGGTCCCTTTGCAATGTCTCTGCTATTAAGTGGTACATTATGTCTCCCAGGTCTTCATCTTTGGATTCCAATACATTTTGGAACCTCAAATAGAATGCTGCACATTCCATTTCGAGATAGATAATCGAATCTTCTAAGTCTCTGTTCATCTCTATTACTTTCCTATCCATCCCTTCCAATTTCTTATCTGTTTGTTCAGCTTTAGTTTCTATATTCTTTATTCTTTGTTCATTCTTCTCCAGTGTCTGTTGGATCGTTCCCATCTTCTCCTCTAAATTTTGAATCTTACCCTTCATTTCTCCCATTTCCGTCTTCATATCTGTATGGTTATTAACCATTGTCTCCTGCATTTTAAGCATCGTTTCCTGAATAGCTAGCTGTTAATGTTGCTTGCATTATCTGCATGTTGGCCACGTTGCTCATCTTTTCCGTATTCAACATTCCTTCTATTGTTTTTTGGCCCGCTGGAGATGCAATAGACATTGATGAGCCAGACATAGGTTTTTTCCCTTTCAGGTTCGCTGTTGTAGTATTGGTTATATTCCTAACTTTATTGTAGATATCTTCCCACTTTACCATTCACTATTTAATTTTTCCTTTGTTATTAGTTCTATTCAGTAGTTTCCCTTAGAATATAAATATCTTTT